AGAGATTTCTCCCATTTTGTTGGTGGTGTCTTTTGTAGCTGGAGCTAAACCCTACAAGATAACAAGGCTATTTACTACACAAACTCTGAAGTATCGTGATCCTACTACCTTCTCGAGAGGAATCTGACTCAATTAATCAAGCTTACTTTCGCAGATGGTTCGGCAAACTAGAGCAGCAGCAAAGACTGAGACTCAGGCCGAAGAGGAGATGGAGGCGGTAGAAATTGAAGCTCCGAGAAAAGGTGGTCCTCCTGCTTCTGACTCGAGTTACGAACGAAAGTTCATCATAGCCAAGGGTTAGCGCCAGATGTTCTTCCCATACTTCGACTATGTCTTTCATTCCAGAAAATTCGCTTCCTGATAGCAAGTTCCATCTAATTAGGCATCCAAAAAACCGAACTCCATGTTTATATAGAATTAGTGAAAAATTCTGTGATGAGGCGAGACTTATAAATTTTGTTCTCGTCCAGCAGGCTCTAATAGAATTAGTTTTAGGTCGTCTCCATAGGAGAGTCTCACCGCTCATGGTTTTATGGTGAAAGTGTCGTATCGGATGGGTTAATACGAATGCTGTCTCCTGTACATCCTTTGTTTTTAGTGCTGCCTTATTTGTTGACTTGTAGGGTAAGCTTCCGTTACTTTCACTCCTACTTTCATAATCTTGTTTTGAGCAGTTTCTTCACTCATTTATTCGCTTCAGAGCAAGTTTATGGAAATTGAGGAAATAATGAGTGATAGCGATAGCCCTTCCATAGCTGTCTTGCTGAAAAATGAGCAGTTCTTGAGAACTATTGACCAAGTAGCAGATTTCAAAGGTGAAAATGTTTTACGAAGCATTTTACAATTCTTTTTGACTCTTCCATCAATTTGGTCGGGGCATTCGCAATTGATCTCGCCTTCCTCTCTGATTGGCTATCCAGGAAGGATAACCAATCAGCTAAAAATTGTTCTTTATAGAAGTTTGTGATACAAAAGTATACCGATTGAACGAGACTAAAGCACTCGAATGGATAAGTGGTCGATTCCAACGGCTTCGTGACGCATTAGTTCAGGAAAACTGCTTACATAAGTCGATTATAGAGAATCGTGAGTACCCCACTATACATTTTTGGTCAGTCTTTGAAGTTGTTTGTGAGTGGTTTTGCGAATCCAATCACTCATTCTTTGCTGCTTTCCAGAAGAAGTACTCGACCGGTACAGTTTCGGTGTACTCTGTGATCATCTTAATCCGGAAATGGCAGCTTTGGCTAAAGTGCACCTTTGCATCAAGGATCCCGTCAATGATGAAAATGAGCACGTAGATATGTCAATGAAGAGAAAAGCGGAGGTTCTGTATGAAGATGAGCTAAAGCCGGTCAAGGTCTGTGTTCCTACCTCAAATAATCATTTGCGTATTGGAACGAGTACCCTAAGGTTTAAAAAGCAGAATCTTGTGATTTTATCTTGTTGCTCTATGCAAATGATACTTAAATGTATTTTTCAATTAAAGCTG